ACAATGTGCTAGGGGCATTAGTAACTACTATCCAACCCCATTCTCGACAAATCCAGAACGGCAGCTCAACTAACGCATCGTAAATTGAGATTTCTATTTATTGTCAACGACCACAACAGGACACTGAAGAAAATATAAGAAACCATTAAACATTACAAATATTTATTAAAGCAATACGAAAATGAAATATATTAAACTAGAGCAAGCTTATGGTATTTTTACTAAAAGAAATAATAGAAATTAATGTGCGATGTCAGAAAATAATGATATTTTATATAAAAACTATTTTGTTTTGTTTATATCAGCAGTTCAAGTGTATACTATATATCTGTGGGTTGAGTTGGGTTTGGTTGAGTTTTATTCAGTCCAGTCAAAGTCACTCAACATCCCCATACACTATACCTCCACTTTCCATTTCTACCCCAGGCTGTCACCAAGTTGACGCGGTCTGCCGACTTTATAAAGTCGCTTAAGCATTTTTAATGGACTTTTAAGTTTTGCTTTTATTGTTTCATTCACATTGCTTTTATGTTGCTCTGCATGCATACCCGTGGATACATTTCTCCCTACTGGGGTTAACTTAATTCCATTACTGAGTAAATTAAAAATGAAGAACGTATTAGTGTTGTAAAATTATATTGTGGAAAAAATTATATATAACTTGTATGTAAAATAAGTTCAAAATGTAACTTGCTATGTCACAATTTAATTTAGAAGCTTTTATAATTATCTATGTTCTTTTTTTATTGTAAAGTTAATGCAATGCCAAGGTAAATGAAGGTAAGTAAAAGCTCATTATTACTTTATTTAGTTTGATATTCAGTGGAATAATTTTCGCTTTAACAAAAACAAAGTCAGTGGAAATATTTATAGAATTTTTTTTATAGCGAACTAATTAACATAAAACTCTTCTGGTTCTGAAAGGTCATCAATTCCGGAGAAAAGAGTTTAATACATTTCATCGCTTTCCCTTCAGTACTTTAGTAATAAACTTGCTGGCAACTAAAACAACAATTTCAATATAATTCAGAATTCGTTTTTCCTGCTTCATTTTAATTAAAGTTAATAAATTAAATATCTTATATTATTCTTATATTAATATCAAATTATTTGCCTTCCCAAAAACACATTTAACTGATTTGCCAAACTAGTTGGCATTTATTTGCATTGCAATCAACCGAATTCCTTCACTAATAAGAAGCAAACAAACTTCATTTTCCCCAATTTTCCTTTGGGCCATGTGAGAGCTTAGTAAATACAATTAACCATAGTTGTCGGATTGTTTTGCGGCTGAAATTACCATTTCTATTAATACATATTTGATATACTTATTTCAATCAATGTTCTGTCAACTACTTCTCGGGTTTGCCCCGAATCCTCACGGCTAAACAAACTGTCAATCATAGGGAAAATCCCCCGGGGGAGTCCTTGGTCCCCCAATTTTCCGGGGGCGCTGGCTTTATTATGGAAATTAAATTGATATTTAAGTGACACATAGCGGGGCGGAAGAGTGAGCAAGATAAATTTCGGCTGACGGCAAATTGTTTGCTCATACAGCATTGTTAAGGCGAAATTAAATTTTTATGGGCTTAAACTTGGCTCAGTTGTTGTTGGCCGTCGTTATTGCTGTTGCCATTGTTGGCCAGAATATGCCACGCCATCTAATGAAGCAGCTGGCAGATGTGTGTAAGTCTCTCTCTGTGGGTTTGTGTGAGTAAGTGTGTGCCAATGTGGTGGTCAGCTTATGGTTTTTTGGCCTGGCCCTGGTATTTTGACCTTTCAGCTTTTGGGGCTCGCCGCCGCCTTTTGGCTGTAAGGTTTAATTAATATGCAAATGGACAAGGAGCAGGCAAAAGAGGTTGCAGGGCAACAGCAATTTAAATTTGCTTCTTTCATTCTTTAATGAACTCCGAGTACCCGAAAGTTATACATTGTGAAATATTTATATTACATCCTGTACCACAACTTGCCCCACATACGACCAAGAGTGCTGGAAGTTAGCTTAGCGATGGACAGAAGCATTGAAATCAAGCGATAAATATAAATATCAAAATAATAACGACATTTAAGAATATTAACGATATTACTTATGATGTCATATAATTTTAAGATATAAATATCTGATGTTTCTTTTCGTTTAACATCACCAACTACTGAAAAGCCACTGGGGTGAAAGCCTGCATATTCATAAAGATCTCTTACGCTGCGATGACGACGATAGTCAGTCCTCCATTTGCAATTCGTATGCAGGACATTTCCGGTTTTCGGAAATGCATTTCCGCTTCCGGGCGCTTGCCGGAGCATAGCTTCTCCGGCGCTGCCCTCACGAGTTCCACATCAATTTGATATTTTGACAGAATCGCACAAAACAGTCACCAGCTAATGCACTTACTGGCCATTCAACCAATTTGGTTACACGATTTTGATGCAATTTATTGCCCTGCACGCCCCACTGGCCGACCACTTATGAAATTGATTTGATTTTTATTAGTATTTTATGCGATTTGGCCAAAGTGTCCACGGTATGGGAGTTGCCTGGGTGCCGAGGGAGAGAATTAAATTAAACACGTTCAGGTCGATGAAAGCCGAAAGCGCACACACTTTGTGTTTGGCCAGGAGACCAGGTGGACCACCAGCAATTTCTCATTGTTTGCCCGCAGCCGGGTTTTCCCCGTTTTACCTGCCTTCTGTGGCCACGCCTTCATATACACACACATACACACACTAAAAAATATACATATATGCCACAGCCAACATACACTGAGCAAAATGTCGACTTTCATATTAATTTAACAGAACAAGAACTAAGAATAGTCTTAGTTAAGTAGCATTGCCTTTTACTTATGGTATTGCATGCTAAAATAAGAATAGAAAATATCTTAAATTATATAATATTTCAAAATTAAAATAAATAAACAATTCAAAAAGATATATTTTCAGGTGCACACGCCACAATAAAGCGTTAAAACACGACTGACTGGCAGTGAAATGCGTGTTTGCCATATCGAATTTCACACTTTCGCGCTCGCCCACTCTCCTCTTAGCTGCTGTGGCGGGAAAAAGGACAAAGGAAAACTGGAAAATTCACAGGACAACAAAAAAGAGGCAATCAATGAAACGTTTTTTTCTGTTGCATCCGTCACCTGCCCCACACATGGCAACTGCATTTGTAAATCCATCGGCATTGGCATCTGCCTCAGCCTTGTGTTCGATTTCTGTTTCCATTGCTCTTAATGTGTTTTCTCGCTTTTTACCCGGACATATATCACATCTGATATGGCTTGTCTTTTATTTATGACTTTACAGAGATATCAACAAAGATATAAGTTGGGTGACTTGGGTGACTTGGAAGAGTGTCTGAAAATGACTTTAATGCCTAAACTTTAAGACTTTTCGTGAATGCATACTGCCATTGCCACTCACGAAAATATAAGTAAACCCCAATTAAGCGGGGAATGTTAACTGAAATGGGAGCACTAGCTTCAAATTCAAAGCTCCTTAATTGGACGTAATCATGGCTCGACCTGACTGGTGTCCTGAACACGTCACATTCACATCCGAGCTGCATTCAGGGCCACATTCTCATCAGAGTGACCGCAGGGGGGGAGTGTCCTGACTGCCATCGCCAGCTTTTTGGCCAGGATGTGTTGGCACAGCGGGAGATTGGAGGGAATATGCCATACATACCACTTTTCGAGATGTGTGTGTGTGTGCGAGAGAGGTGGGGAAAATTTGAGCACATAATAAATATTTATTAGGCCGCTGGTGGTGCTTGCCAAAAATTAAATTTGTTTTCATTAAGCCAGACAAAGCGTTTAAGGCCGCTGTTAAAATACAGGCAAATGTCGCTAAGAGGACTTAAATAAGTAGATTAGTTATTCAAATTAAGGGTTAACTAAAATACCTTTTTCATGAATTTTATAATGCTTAAGATATCCTTTTTATATTTCAATTAGTGAACTTATTTAATTCATGTAAGATTTACGAATACATTTATTTATTAGCCACATTTATATGAGTTTCCATTTGCTAAGCTAGTTGTAAGCATAATTTATTTAATCTTCAACCCTAATTAATTCAGTTCGTTCTTTGTAAGAAAGTTATACTGTACCTATGTCCATAGCTCATTCTTTCAAGGAGTCGGTTCTGCAGAAAATATGCTTGAAATTAAAAAAGGGTATTCTCTGCGGGGTCCTCAGTGTCAACGTCGCCTTGACGTGGCCAAAAACATTTCGTTGGCTTAATTGTGCGCAGGCCAGGCAGATATGGAAAAAAAGGGAAATGAAAAAGTTTTGGGGCCCACAAAAAAAAAAAAAGAAGTAAGGAAAAACGCGAAAACGCGAAACAAAGGCGCTCAAAGCGAGAAGCAGAAGCGCGCTCGACGCTGAAATTGCACGAAGGTTGGCGGCGGGTGGCTGAGTGGGAAAAGTGGTCGGTGGGTGGTGCGAAGTAACATAACAAAACAAAATTAAAGTAAATATGCGCCCTGGCTCACAGACAAAGTAGAATGGCAAACAAAGCGGCGACCCTGACAAGGGGTCGAGCGACAGGAGAGACAAGGACGTCAGTAAACAAAATCACAATTAACTGAGAATGGCAAAAAATAACATCGCCAAAGGAACAGCGAGCATGTGACAATGGCTGTCGAGCCGAGGACTCGTTTTAAAGCGGTTAAAAAAAAAATGGTGGATGCTCAAGGACGCCAAGGACCTGTCATAAAGCATTTTAATTGCGCACCCACATCTCGCCGGCAATTGATTTGGGAGCCAACCGAAATCTATTCAAATGGGACACAAAGACACAAGGTTGAATGCTAAATGATTGGAAAAGGGTCTCGGGTTCACTAGATTAGAGTAAGGATGGCATTATTAAATTCCTTGTACACGAAATGCATTAGCATCTATCCTTCGTACATTTTGAAAGCATTTTAATTACCAACATAGTTTTTCCTAAAATTAAAATGGTTATTTAACTAACTCTAGTTTGATATCAGAAACAAATTGAATTTGCAAATATTTAATTCGAACACATACATCTTGAGCATATAATAAACGCAACTATATATTATAGCTCTTGTGGCATTGGCGAACGGCATCGTTGAATTCTTTGCACATATTGAGATCATCATTCTCCTCGATGCATTTAAGGAACTGTCTCATTTCGGCAGCGCAGGGTCCATCTTCCACAAGGTCGCTGTGTAGGGAATTATTTCCGTGACCATTTCCTCTGAAAAATCCAGTAAGTCCGGCCCCGATAACATGACCCACTGTCGATCCTGCAGCCACGCCCGCGGAACGGGTAGCCACTTCATTAAAGTGCGAAGCCGACTGTATTAGGGACTCCTTTGTGGCAAGCGGAACCAAGGTCACTGGCTGGTTGCTCCTCACATATTTCGGAGTGCAGCTTTTACTTCTGCGAGACATCTCTAATAAATTTCGAAATATTTTAAGTCATCCAAGCTAAAAATATGTGACTAGCTGCCAGGGAAAAAGTAAAGTTTAGAGTGACACCTGTGTAGCTTATAATCTCGATGCCTACTCTGGGGGTATTCTTTGTTTTCAGCTTTGCCAGCTAATTTATATTGCATTGGCATTGGGAAGGCGGCTAATTGCCAAGTGCGCGGCACACCACCAGAGCGCCACCTGGCGGCAAGACCTGCAGCCGAGAGAGAAAAAATAATTTTCTAATTTGTTTTCCCTTTTGCCTTCTGCGTTTGCTTTTCCCATTTCCCGCACTAATTACGAACACATAATGAATTTGTCGGGAAACGCGAGAGGTATGAAAGTAAAACAAATACAAGACTCCAGCTGGCTTTCGCTTTGCAAAAATTCACAGTGGAGTGGGCGACAAGGGGTTAATATATACCCTTTAGAATACACTGATAAAAATTTGACTACAAATTTATATAATGTAGAACGAAAGCTTTCTGTTTCTGTGTTGCCCTATAATCTGGTAAATCATATTAAACCACAAATATATTTATAAATCATTCCTTATGTCCTTATTGTATAAGCCTAAAACAGAAACAACCCGTAAGTATTCCAAGACTTTTAAATATTTTAAAATAATTTCTACAGTTTATGAGCCATTTTCTCTTCCCTCCCGTTCATTCTCATCACATTCCTATTTAACTTTAAGTAATTCGAAGCACTTTGTGAACAACCCGAAATACTAAAAGCCTCTTTAATTGCTCACTTGTAAGCAAAAACCACATACCAAAATTACGTGAAGAGTATTTGGAAAAGCAAACACTTATATTTTCTACGAAACCCCTATTTCCTATTGGTGAGTGCAGCGCGGAAATGCTTTAATTAGCAGCGAGCATGCAATATTTCTTCGGTTTGACTATTTTTGGCCTTTCGAGTGTGGGAGTGGGGTAAAAATGAAAATGAAAACATAGCGAAAACACAGTGGCAATTAGCCGAGCTGCCAGCCAAAAGTTTGGGCCTAATTCGAATTAGGTTTCGACACACTTACATCCATATGCCGAGTGCTGGCAGCGAGTTCATGTGGCAAACGGAATATTTCATTAAATTATTGCCAACCGCAGAGGAAAGTCAGCCCGAACAGCAGCAGAGCCCCGCTGCAAATGCCGCTTGATTGATGCTGCTTTCGGGGAAAACTCGGCCCAATTTCCACAGCCACCGCCTCCGCCCTCTGCCATTTGCGGGGCCATGCTAATCAGCCATATACAATTTCCACTCACTCCGTTATGAATATTTAAGCAAATTATATTTGCTCGCTGAAAATTCTGTCGGCCTGTCATGTGAATAGATGTGACAGCAGCTAGGGCCACAGTCATCTCCTCCCATATCCCTTCGGGGAAGAATTCGAGTGAAGAGCGAGCGAGCATTCAAAAGACTCGTCTCGGAATGCTAATTTCATTTTGTTTATTGTTTTGGCTACAACTTAATTGGCCCGTCTCCCCCCGGCCACAATGCCAGCTACTCTTCATTCCCAGCAAATGTTTATAAATCAATCAACATCAATAATGTTTCGGCAAGCAAGATGGATGGCCTGGAACTCCGATGAGATGTGGGGAGATGTGGCGATGGGTTCTTGTTGATGGCTGCCCGCATAACGCCAATTAATTTGGCCTCTGCCAAGGCTGCTCCTATACACTCCTCATTGGCATTGGTGAAAAATCGTTGAAATACGAATTATAAAGAATAATAAAAGGACAAAAGTAAATCAAAACCAAGAAAGTAATTTAATTAATTAACTACTCTAAGCATAGCAATAAATTAATTACATTTAGCTATTGCAGGAGAGCATTTAAGAGGTTTACAAAACCCAAAATATTCAAGGAATTTGTCTATATACATTATTTGTATGTGATTTAGCATCCAACCTATCAAAAAGGACCTATAGATTGATTCATTGGTATTAATCTAATGTACCATTTTTCATATAATTTAATAAATCTTTTTGTAAGCAATTTAATAAACTTCTTTTAGAGATTCATTTAAAATAGGATTAGGTTTTGATCTCCATGTCTATAAGCATTTTCTTGCTTTCTTCAGACATTATATCGCCGGCGACATTGCTGCATGGCCTCGTTGAACTCCTTGCAGACCGAAATGTCATTGTTCTCCTCGGTGCACTTGAGAAATTGCCTCAGCTCGAAGGCGCAGGGTCCATCCTCCACCAGCTGATGGCTTCGATATTGCTGCTGTAGATTTCTAGCTCCGGATTCCTCTTTTTGCTGCGATGGCTGCTGTTTCTGCTGCTCCTCCTCCTGTGCCGGTGCTGTCTGACCACGCCCACTGAACATACCGGTGATGCCAGCGCCCACGGCATGACCAACTGCAGATCCAGCAGCCACGCCCGCCGCCGTGGTAGCCATATCCTTGAACATATCCCCAGTGCTTCGACCCTTGCCCTCTCCAGCGGGAGCCGAAGTAGATGTAGAAGGCTTCTCATCTGCCACAGAGTTCTTTGTTGGTTTCTGCACTGCGGGCAGATTTCTACTGCTGCCACCATGGGAATTTAAGGCATAGCTGCTGCTTTGGCGACTGCTGCCGGGCTGCCGGCGCACCGATCCATTTCCAGAGGATCGAGTCTCGGAACGTTGACGGGGCATATAAAATGGCAAAAGCAAACAATTTTAGATGGAAGGAAACAGGGTCAAATGTGCCTTCGACTAGAAAGTTGAATTTTGAATGACGAGCAAACAACACTGACATTTAACCTCAAAGAGTTGGGGCAAGAGAAACATGGCCAACTGGGCACACAAGCTTCCCCAAGGATCCAGAAGCCTGTCTGCTAATTTACATTGCACAGGTGTCGCTGGGGTTAATTGCAATGTGCACGGAACTTGGTGGCAAATTACATAGCTGGCTTTGATATTATGACATTGCTTTTGCTGTTATAGATAGAACTAATTAAGTTCACAAATCCCTTGAGAATTAATAACAGTGTCACAGGATTTCTACAGAGATTGAAATATATATTCTTAAACAAGTAAATAGAGTAGAGAGTAAAGTAGGGGTAGAGTACTTCCACTGTCTCTATTCTATGTGTGATGAATGCCCTGGGCAGCTGCTTCAATTGAAATATAGTGTTGCCCATAGGTCTGTCGCCCGGGTGTTTCATTACTTTTGACAGACACTGCATTACAGTTGCCCGCAAACTTATTGCACTCAGCCAGACACGCACAGACACTGGCTGTGAGTTATGTCCGGGAGATTGCCGGATTTCATTTGCATCCACTACGATATCTGTGGGCTGTTTGCTTGCTTTATGCATAGTATATATCATTTAATATTTGCTGATCTCAGAAACTGGCACGCTTTCAATTCGGCATTGTACTCAAGTGCCTGGCTGTGCGCATTGCACTTTGAGTTAATTAAGCGTTGACGGCCACAGTGCGTATGATTAATGTGGGTTGCAGTCAACGCCATTTGCATTTCTGGCAACCGTTCAGAGCCTAATTCAGGGCTCGCAAGTGGCTCTGAAGTGCTAGCCATTATAATCCACCTCCGATATATGCCACATCGCCTCAATTACGTGGGCAATTTTCGCCAAAAAACTGTCTGGGCCGTTGAATACAAAAATACAATTAAAGTCCCGACTTCCCTACCAACTTGAGCACTCATAACTGCCTGAAGAGAATCGAGAGGTCAGAATATGGAGAACGGAGAACATTTCAAATGCGGTAAATTACAGTTAACGATTTTGTAGCACAGCAATTTGCTTTATCTCTAGATTTCTATCTACGGTTTGTAAATGTATTTCCACGTACACCGTTTGTTTTGCATGTCAGCCGGTTCGTCGGTTGGTTGTTCGGTCCGTCGGCAGGTGCTATCCGTGCCCGCAGAGCCACCTTATCTGGTCATTGGCCAGCAGCAAAAGCCAAAGCCAAGCCATTGTGGCTAGCATGTCCGAGTGTATGTCTGCACTGGAAAAATAATTCTTTGAAAGGGAATAGCAAGTAAGCCAAGCTCTAAGTATTAAATTCCGTGTTACATTCCTGACATAATATTTGAATATATTGCTATACTTTTCCCAATTTCAATTTTAAGAATCCCACCATTTACTATATTTAAACTATTCGGATTATTTTTCTCCTAGTGTTCGTTTGCGGTTAACAAATGTAGAAACACCGCCATAAAGGTGTTGAAATAACTGCTGCACAGTTGCGCCCAGGCCAGGCTTTGTTTGCCTTCGTTTCTAACGTTTCTTTGGCTCAATTGTTACGCCGTTTTATGGTTATTGTGTTGAGGGAAGGTGCAATGCAAATTGCCGCCACATAATTATGTCGCAGTGAAGTAGTCCAAAAGAATGGACTCTATATATGTGCCGACAGTAATGTCGTCTGGATGTGTACTTACAACAATGGGGGCCGAAATCAGTCCAAGTTTGCTGCATCAAAGTTTCGCAATTGCCCCGAAAAAGTTACGGATCTCTGACACCTGGACAAGTCCAACTTTTTCGTGTCTAATTAGCAGGCGACAGGAGCACTTCTCTCAGTTTTAGTTTCCACTGCCACCAAACTAATTTATATAAAAACTCACTTTGGCTCACCCGGCAATCAAATAATAGAAATGGGGAACTTTTAATTTGCCATTGCCCTGACAACTCACGCAATGGGTACACGGAAAACTCCAGAGGGAAAATGGCGGAAGGAAACGGAAAAACCAAAGTTGCTGAGCTACTGAGCTGGACGTTACCTCAGTTAAATCAGTTACTAATTGCATGGCACCGATGATGGGTTCGCGATAACAAAGCAATTTCAATCCACCTGTCGATGAGGGGCGGGAAACTTTCATTTCCACTTTATATAAGGGTTTTTAAAAGGAGGAGTTGTGGAGTTTGAACCAAGCAAAAAAGGTGTAAAACTTAAAGGTTACTTATAAGATAGTTTTCTGTCTTTACATCTTACTACCCTTTTATGATATATTATTTGTAAGCAAAGTCTTCAAAACAACATATCTAACTTATTATATTTAGACCTAGTTTAAAGACTACTAATTCATATTTCAAAATTTAATTTTAATTTTTATTCCTCCTTTACTTTATAGCATTTTTAGTATGGAAGCCAACTGTGCAACTTGCAACTGTTCCATTCAACTTTCATCAAGTGTCAGGCCGCAGTTCCTGCTCCTTGACTAATGATCGCGTGCCGGGGCATTGCAATTGTGCAACTTCACGCACGTATGTATTTCCCGGGGGACAGGAAAACAAATGAATTTGGTCTTTGGGACCTTATATAAATTGCCTCGATTCGGGGCGGAGGTCAACATTTTGCAGTCATTTTTTGAAAGCTCAACAAAAGGGGCAGGGCTGAGCAGAGCTCTGAATTATATTCCCATTTTTTTCGGTTATTATCTGGGACCCAAAAATTAAGCCGAAAATTAATGATTGCACTTGAGCGAAGGAGAATAAGCAATGCAAAGACTTCATTGTAAAGGGCTTTGCTGCGCAACTTGGTAATGTGCAAATTAAAAATTTTCGCCCCATCGTTCTGCTGAGTTTTCCACTTTTCCGCGGCAAGAGCGCGAAAAGTTTCGATGGTGGGGACGCCTGCCAGTGTTTAAGGAGCCGCGAAAGAAGTTTTTAATGAAAATAAATCATGCGCACACTCGACTGCCTACAAGGGCAGACTTCAGACTTCGAGGAACCGGGGACTTATCGCCCGGGAATAAGCCAACGCGGTGCCCTTATGCGACGCTGCCACGCAAAGGCATAAAGCTAAAAACAACAACAATGAAAAAAGAAAGCCAAAAAATTTATGGACTTGCTCCAGTTGACACTCGATATAAATCAGGGTCTTGCAATTAGGGAACGGGCCAAATTACACGAACTCACGAGAGACACTGTCCCAGAACTATCGTTTTCGGGGCCACCTAAGGGACGAGTGGTCCATCCTAATTGGCAAACTGTGCTGGCAATCACCCCTCCCCCCCCCCAAGGTTTTCTCACATATCCAAAATGCCACTGGCCACAGGTGTTTATTTAATTAATTTACATAAATCAACTTGCACAACCGAACATATACATATTATAACATAACTTGCATGCAAATCGTACTTGTGCAGGATTTAGCCTGCATTTAATAAGTAATTAATTTTAAATCAGCTTATTGACCCAGCAACAAGGCCGAGCCTAAAAACTGTTTATACTAATTAAATGACAGGGCTACAGAGCAAATAAATAAAGTTAAGCTTATATTTACGTTGCGGTGCACACGTTGCGTATACGCAATGTTGACGATGAACTTGGATTATCGTGCAACAGCAAGCCAAGCAGATAATTATGCAAATGAAAAAGGATTCTATCAGAAGGAAAAAATGAAAATAGAAAATGAGATTGATTTTAAATTCAAAAGTTTTTGAAGCGAAGAAAGTAAAACTAAACTTAATATTCATATTCATATTATTTACATAAAGCTACTAAAAGCTAACTTTTTATTAGGATCATTAGCTTGTGTATGAATTTAAAGCTCTAAAACTTAATGAACTTTTAAAGAAAATTAAAATAAAATTAGACCACATAATATTTGCTCTAATCTAACCAAGTAAACCCTTATTAACCGTTCTTAAATTAGCAACTTTTGAGTTTCCTCTTCATGTTATTTGGCGTAGAAATGTATGTATTTTCTAGACACTTTGCACGAGCGGCTTAAATTTGCCAGCCATTCCATTACGGTAACTAATTGCCAACGTCGGCTACAAATTCCTCACTCGATTGTCTGCAGAAAATTGTGCTCGAAATAAATTGCGCCCGGGCAAATAAATAATGCATGGTTAAAGCAAATGGTAGGGGCGTAACGAGGGGACATGCAAATAATGGCTGGCTCTTTTCTGCCTTGGCAAATCACTTTGAGTTATTGTATTTAGCCTTCAACACGGTAAAATAAATATTTTAAAGCCTCGCACACACCCACCGACACCTTCACCTACACCTTCACCTACACCTACACCTACACCTGCAGAAGGTGTCTAACAGCACGCACTTTGGGCGATGATTGATATGGCAGCCATGGGCGCACGGGACACGCTGAGGGGGGTACCTGGTCACAAAACTTTGCCTTTTTACCCTCCCTTCCCTCCCATCGTCTCGGAAAAAATACAGAAAACGTCGAGTGTCAAAGTTTTTGTGCGCGCTTAGCGCATTTGATGAATTGTTAAAAGAAAATCGCGCGTATGTGTAAACATTTTGGTCTACTCCGAGGATAGGACAAAGAATTTCTTGACGGGGGCTGGAATTGTACGAGCATATATACAGACGTGTATATATAAATATATATATATTTACGGATATCTGTGTGAAAATCAACAGTACCAGCCATGGTAAAGAAACGTGGCTGCTTTTGAAGCCGCCGACGAGCAAATGGCGGAAGCTCAAGCAGCTGCTGATGATGATGGCGGTTGCTGTCGGTAAACAGAAAAGACTTGAACCGAATGAGGAAAGTGTTGAGAATTGAAAGATATTGACGGGTTAATACCCTTCCTCACAGCGCCCTTGATAGCAAAGATATAACTGGTTATCAATGGGCCAAAAAAGAAACCTTGAATAAGACCTCTATAAAGACAATGTTACCACTTAAGTGCAGAGGTAAGATATAAAATATTTTGATAAGATTCCTAAAATATTTCAAGTATTTCATTGAGAAATATTTTTAAAGAGTGAAAAACTGTTTCTTAACTTGTGATTATTTTCATTTTGAATAAATAAAT